TTTTTTCTTTTTTTTTTCTTCTCTCCCCCACACGATTTTTAAACTGAGCTCGAAGTGGCGGCGGGCGCGGGGCCGCGCGCGGGCTGACACATGGCGAGACCCAGCTCCCAGAAAGGAGGGAAAACAAAGCTGGAATGGGGGTGCCGGGCACCCCCGGAGCGGGATAGCCCCGATCCCCGTCCCTCTGCCCTGAGGCCCGGCCAGAACACGAGGAACCTAGCTGGAAGTTGATCCCCTGCAGTTTTTCTCTCTTGAGAGGGTTGGGCTGCTTGATGTGGAGTTTTTTTAAAGGTTTTCTGAAGAAGAAGACTTGGGCCGCTTCAGGTTTTATCACCGTTTCAAATATAGCACTTTAAAGTGTCTGGAAAGTTTTTTTTTAATATGGACGTCAAACGGTAGGAAAAAGTTTGAGATGAAATCAGAAAGAGCCTTGCTGCTGGGATCACAGTTAAAACACAGTTCATCTATAGCAGATCATAGCTTTAACATAAGTAACTTAATTCAGTGGGAGCACTGATGTTGCATATTGTGCTTTTGATAGAAATAACTTTTTTTTTTTTTTCAATCTGTTTTCAACGCCTGGCCTGGTAATTCTTCATTGTTAAATTTCCAGTCTGCAGAATGACAGCTAATACTAGATTTTTATTTTTTTTTTTTTTGTGGCTTTTTTCCTTTAAATTTTCAACTGAAAAATGCTGACCTTTATTCCCTAATTCAAGATTTCAAGTCAGTAAACAGCTTTAATATCTTTATTTCCTCCTTTTTAATAACCTGTTGCACTTCGGTAAAATGTTAACTTCTTGTTTCATACCTTTTTTAAAAAGTGTTGGTTATTTTTTTTTTCTTTTATTTCCTCCACAGGAAGGAGTGAAGACTGAAAACAATGACCACATTAATCTGAAGGTTGCAGGGCAAGATGGGTCTGTGGTGCAGTTTAAGATTAAGAGGCACACACCACTTAGTAAACTAATGAAAGCCTATTGTGAACGACAGGTATGATCTTAGGAGGGCTGTCTGGGAGAGACCTGCTATCCACAGGGATAGAGGAAGACAGTTAAAGTCTTAAAACTTAAACAAATAGGCAAAATGAACAGAAACTAACTGTGCTGTGGGAAGTGGATTGTCCTTGGGGTCTGTTACAGGGTGAACTGAGAGGGTTGTGACAGGAAATGGGTGAAATAAAGATCTGTTGTCATCTGTGAAATCTGCATTTATAGGTGGAGGCTTCTGGGAGGTAACTGCTACTCTACTGCTCCTAAATATTACTGTGGAAAGGGTGGGTTTGGGATGAACTTGGGGGAGAGAGAGTTAAGTGATAATCAGGGATTTTTATAGCTCTGAGTAACTTCTTGGACTGATCATTGACTTCTGATTTATTAGCTTAATTGTACTGAGATGAGAAGATACCCTGAGAAGGAGCTTGTACATTTAATGATGAGCTTTGTTTTTTCTCTTGTGGCCTGGTTGACAAATGAATCTTCTAAGAGACAAACACACCCCATGTATTTGCTGATGTGGTGGCAGCTGCAGCCAGTCTGCGAGACTGCAGGCACATTGCAAGTTTTAAAAACACCTGTTTGAGTAGAGCTGTGGAGCTCTTCCTTCTGAAGCTCCTGACTAGGGAAATTTTGTCTCTGTTATCCTTGATATTTTTTACTAACTCTCTACCTTTAAAAAGTTCTAGCTCTACAAAAGTGTTCAGAATTTGTGAATTTTTAATTTTTTAAAAATGTAAATATTCAAGGATACTATTGCATACAATTAAGTCACTGTAAGAGATTGGTGCAGCTCTTTCATCACCAGGAAAAACCCCCTGTGATTCACTTCGAGAGTGGTAAAACCTCTTTGATTTACCCTGTGCCACAACAGAATAAGGATAAAGACAGGAAAAATTAGCTCTTGCTGAACATGTGAATATGTGCTTATGTGAGTGTTCTGGGTAGAAATTAGTGAATGTTGGAAGCTGTGAGTTTGTTTTTCCTACCTCAGTCCTACAAACTCTTGTTTTATTTTTTAAAACACTGTGTTGCTTTTTCCAGTCATAGAGTGCAGTTACAGCTGTCTCAGGGAATTTGAGGATTGGTTATTGGTCTATAAAGTCCTGGCATATAAAAATATTAAAAGTATCATTCATTCTATGTTAGTTTGAAACAAAGCATAAGTAAGATTCCAAATTGTCTTAGATTGCCAAAGTGTTCACTCTGCTTAAAGAAAAACAAAACCAAAGCCAGAAAAAAAAAAAACAAAACAACAAAACCCAGGTATCAATTGGAGGAAAAAAAATCAGTAAGTATTGAGAATGGGACACATTTTTTCTGATCTCAGTTTCAAGGTAGTAATTATCCAAATATTTTTGTTGATGTGGATTTGTCTTTAGGTGCTTACCTCTGGAATTTTGCTTAAAAACATTTGTTCTGCGTGTCTCTAAAAGTTTGATTTTATTCATGTATTTATTTACCTAACTAGCTATATCCCAACTTAAATCCTTAAATTGTGGACTTTAGATTTAATTTTGGATAGCTGGTAGAGAACTTATCATCTATAAAGGAAGATAATTATGTGTTGTGTGTAGTAGATGTAAAATAGAAGTAACTAAACTTGAGTGATCTGTTGAGAAGATCAGGACTGTTTGTGATTATTTTAAGTGGTGAGAAAATCATCCATGGACCATACTTCATGTTTTGTGGACACTAAGCTCACCAAAGGACAATTTTTCAGTATATTTTCAGCTAACATTTATTTAGCTCATGAAGTTGTCATGAACCTGGAAACAAACAACACTCTGGGAATAGGAAATACATGTTTTAAGAAACACAGTGTCAGAGAAGAGGGCTCAAACCAAATGTTGCTGTGCAGAAATGTGTTGCTGCCATGAGACTGAGCCACACTTTCCTTAGACCAGATGATGTCCTGAGTGAACACTGCAGTGTCTTCATCGTGCTGGAGAAAGCATTTTGCTGCAAACCATAAAGTTAATAAAAAAAGTTTACTCACATTTATTGAAATATTTTTCCTGACAAATCTATTCCTTAGAAATAATTACTGCATTGTCTTCTGTTGTGTGTGACATCTGCTCTTGCCAGGCTGAATGAAGGCTTCTCTTCTAACTCAGAGATGCCAAAGCATGAGCCTGCAATCCATTGGATTGGCTTCAAAACCAGATTGGGCTCTTGGATATTTAGATACTCTGGAGAGAAGGGATAGAACTGGAAAGGAAGTTTGTATACCCAAATGTCACTGACCTCCTTTTGCAGAATGTGGGGTGCTGTAAAACACCTTGGAAAACTCACTGGTGACTTTGGAGCTGATATTATCAGTAGGAGAGGTTGTTTGTTACTCCTAAGTTACATTTTTCAGTCTGTTGGTTCAGGTGAGAATGAGAGATACTGTTCTAGGGATGGAAGAGGTCAGCAAAATGAATGTTGTGTAGAAATGCTTATCCAAAATACTGGCTAATTTCTGAAGTAGAAAATTCCTTTACTTTTTCCATCTGCATGGAAAAACTTCCGATACATTGGCTTCATTATAATAGGAATTGGAGGTCAAAAAATTACTCTTTCGTTTCTCTTTGCTTACTCTTTGCTGCTGCAGACTAATTTTGTTGTTTCATTTCTGGAAGAAATGTTATAGAATACATTTGTTTTTGGAGAAGATCGAAAAGGAGTGTTGAATGTCACTGTTGGACATTTGTTACCTAGTGTTGCACCTAGTTTTTAAGTGAATTACTCAAAAGCACAATAAACCTGCTGGCCTTTGGGGTGTAGCAGAAATGTCTTTATTTTAACTCAGTCAGTGGGGGCACTGTTGCTTCTCTTGAGTTGTTGGACACAATGCAGTGTTTAATACGAAACAGATTGCAGGAATTTGGAGTGAAATGCCTAAAAGTCAGGGCATGAAGGAAGGACAGAATCTCTGGTGGCTTTTAATGATGGTGCTGCAATTCAGTGACAAGTTCAAGAGTAAACTACTGAGTACTTTTACAGCAGATTCATTTCCCTTTGTATTGCTTCTCTTTGTCCAGGGGTTGTCAATGAGGCAAATCAGATTCCGGTTCGATGGGCAGCCAATTAATGAAACAGACACACCTGCACAGGTAAACAGCACAAGCAAGGATAAAGAATTACTTGAAATCTGGTGCAGGAGTTGATGCTTCTGTTTACTATCAAATACTTATGTAAATGTGTATATTACTGATAGAACTGGATTTTTTTTACCATTATTTTTCTGAAACTAGTTTAGGATAATTAGAAATGGAATCCAGGACTTTAGTGTTTTGAATAAAAAAATCTGTATCACTCTAATAATAAAACAGAAAAATTAAGTACAGTGTACAGATGGTGAGTCCTGTAAAACTTTTGCTTTATTGATTCATGGCTCTGATGTAAGGATGTTAAGTTAAGAATTGAGTTTTTCTTGAAGCGATGGCTTTACTTTTTATATAAAAGCTTGCCAGGATGTTATCAGAGGGATCCTGTTTGCAAGCTTGCATTTGTAATACAAAAGTAATTTACTGTTTGTAATCTGAAGCTGTTTCAGCAGAATTGAATTAATATGGTGAAATTTGGGTTGTCTGTGAATGAAGGCCATTCCAAGAACAGAATGGATCCCTGTGGCTGTGGAGCGTTTTTTTGTCCTGCTCCATGGAGCTGTGTTTAATCAGCCTGACCAAGTGATAGTTTTATCTGCTGTTCAGAACCACTTGTAATGAAATAACAGATGTTAGTTTTTAGTTCTGAATTTTCCAAGCTGTTGCTTCGAAGATTGTGCCTTTTGTGGCCCCAGTCTATGCAACTTTTTAATTTCCACTGCTGATAATTGAGGCAACAGGATCATTTTTCTTTCCATCCATGTTTTGCTGAAGCTCAGAATCAGTCTGTTTGTAGCTGTGGTAAATGGCATAGACCAGTTTGATTTCCTGAGCAGCAACTGTGTCTGTTTAGAAATACAGCTTGCATTAGTTACAGCAGCTCCTTCAGTTTTGGTACAGATTTTGTCAGTAGGTGCCATTAACATCCCAGAAATATCAACTGTAAAAATTAGGGTAACAAAAAAGAGAATTATATTAATGAAGTATTGTTACATGCAAAGTGTTTTAAATTTTTTTGTGCTTGCTGAATCTTGGTTTTACTGCCTCATTGTGGAGAGGCCTTAATTCCAGTCAGCTTCCCCAGTGCTGTAGCCATTTGAGCAGCAGCAGCCAACTGGAATTGTGGCAATGTTCTAAGGTGAACTGAGGGAGTAAATAGGAGAACAAAGGTGCAATGGCAAAGCAGACAACAGAAATCAAATATAATCTGTTTCTTAGGTGTCACACAGTGTACCTTGAAGTTAGTACAAGAATTCATTCTAGGTCAGCAGTTATCAATTGGCTTTTTTTTTCTATGAAGTTTTTTTGCTTTTGAGTTAGTGAGTTTTGTTAAATGTACAAAAGAGTGGTGGTGGAGTGGAGTGGGGCTTCTCTGGTTAAATTGTATAAAAAGTAAACATAAAGTCAGGAACTGTAAGAACGACCCAGACTGCTGTAGAAATGTGAGAAGAATTGAAAGCCCTTTTTTCTTTTTTCTTCTGTAGTTGGAAATGGAGGATGAAGATACAATTGATGTGTTCCAGCAGCAAACAGGAGGAGTTTATTAAAACAAACACACAGAAAAGAACCTGCTACTTTCCTCTCCAGAACTGTGCTCCCACAGGCAACACTTCACAATTAGAAAAATGAGACTTGGTTCAGCCACATCCTGACTACTGCAGTATAGTTTTCTCTCTTCTCTCTGATTTTTTTTTTCTTATTCCTTTTGTTGTACATAAAGTATCTGGTGATGTGCACAGACATAATGCATATTTTTTTTTAACTAAATGGCCAATGGTATGTTTTGATCAACATTTAATGGAGATGGGATGGGAAAACAAACTGGTTCTGTGAAAATGCCCCTCTCTCCGTTAGTGGCATGCTCCTTCTACTTTTACAGAATCACAGAATAAGCCGAGTTATCTTTATATTCCAGTAAGTTATTTTGCTCTCACTGTTCAAAAACAAAAACCTTGCGTACCTTGTTTGATTGGATAATTTCAATGTTTTTCTTTTATCATTGTAAAACCAAGGGCAATTTTATAACTTTTTTGTACGTAGCTGTTACATGTAGAGCAATCTCTGTCTAAGTAGGGGTAAATTACTCTTTAAAAAAAAAAGGAAAAAAAAAATCCTAGATAGTTTTCCCTTCAAGTAAAACGTCTTGTTGTTTAAATAAACTTCTTGTTTAAAATAACCAGTTTTCTTTCTTTTTCTGTGGAGTAACAGTACTCAGCATCTGTATTTCTTTCTCTGCAGCACTTTATGCCTCTCAAATCTCAGCTTTCTCTGTGGTAAGTAAGCATACTCCCCCTTGTCTAGGCAGAAGACTTGGAAAAGGAAAGGCTTCCTTGAGACTTATCAGTCAGCAGTTGAACTGGAAATTGAAGTCAGTTTTCTCTTATTTTGATTTCCTTTTTTTGTGAATGTTCTGCTAAGCCAAAACTGTTTGATTAGGCAAACTGCAAAATACTGAACTACTTGGTAATACCTTTGGGTTGAGCTCTTGTCAGTCTTTAATAGAAGCATCAATATTGTTGTTACAGTAGTTTATTTATGACTCTGTATTTGAGTGCTTATTGATGTACGTTAAAGAGAGCAAATAATTTCATTAACCGTTCAGTTTACCATGGTATCAAATGGGAGCTGCTTGGAAATGTAAAGCAAAAATAAAAAATGGAGTTCTGTTTTTGGGTGTATGTAGCTATGGTGGTGGAGATTCCAAGCTCTGCTTTACCCAGCTCTGCGGTTCTGCTTGGAAGAGGGAAAAAGGCTGGAAGTACTGAAGGGAGATGTAGTGATGGTGGTGTTTTTCACAAGTCTTTTCCACAGTTCTTGAGTCCTTGGGGAGCTTTTTGGGGAAGTTTAGAGGTTGGAGTGAAATCCTTGGATGTTCATGGAAGATTATATACCTGTCAAACCCACAGCATTCTCTGGTGACCTTGGAATGTTCCAATATTTTACAGTGTTTGCAGTAAGTTAATGCTCTTTTAGGTATACATTTCTTAGAAGAGGCCACTCTTTGGTAGTAGTTTTTGTAACAGTTAATTCAGGGAGTGATTATGGGGTGGGGGCCATGTGGGGCCTGTGCCTGTTTGAGCTGAAAGTTTTGTAGCAGAATGATGAGCTGCATTTAGCTGATGAGTTGTGATCTATCTGTGTTCTGTCAGGAATAACACATTTGATTCTATATTAGTTCCATCTAATGGATATACAGGGAAAATTAATATCTGTTCTTACAGTTGCTTTTGACTCTATAGCTGAAGAATGTAATATACTGTGTGCCTCTGTTTTAATTCAAGAAAATGCTACTGCTAAGCAGATTACTTCTCATTCTGGGATGTATCTTATAGACTTCTGTGGTGTTTTGCAGGATTGAAATTCCTTCTTGTGAACAAATATTTACACATGCAAACTCTAAAAGGCCTACAAAAATCTACTTTGAGGAAAAAAAGAGGGTGGGGAAATAGATTTCAACATCTTTCCTAGGTTACATGTGGAATACATTGCTCTTTGGCTTTAGAATCTCTTGTTTTAAGCTGGCTAAACTTCTGATATCAGTGTATGAAATTCTTTCAACTTGATGTCATGTAAAGACTTTTCCCAGGAGAAAGGTGTCTTTATCTTGTTTAGCCAAAAAAAGGTGTTTGGACTTGCTTTAGTTTCTGAAGAAAGGGTGAGGTCTCCTTAAATACATTTTTTTTTTCAGTTCAGCTTTAAGATTGTGAAGCTCAAAGCTCCCTGTTGTATCTTGCCTTGTACTTTTTATTTCCCGAGGCAACAGAAGTCAAGTGACAGGTACTGAAGAGCTTTTAAAAACAAAGTCTTAATTTCCTGAATTAGTCGAGTGTTACTTCATCTGTCATGAACTTACGAGCAGTATTCACCTACATTCCTCCATATTTCACATCCTTTTGCTGTTACCTGGGCTTATTCATGTTCCTGAAATGATTTCTCTAACAATGCTAAATGGTGTTATGTTAGGTGGTGACTGCAGCCAAAAACTGTTAGTCTTTTCTGAGATACTTTATTGTCTTTTTAATCTAATCACAGAAACATCTCAGCTTCAGTGACTTAGTTCCCTAAGAGCCTCAAATGTTGAATTTCCATTAGTGTAGCAAACTAAACTGGGCTGATTTCTAATTCTGGTTCTGATACAACATTTGTGTAACAGTAATGCAGAAATACAGTCCTTCTTTAAAAAAAGAAAATGGGCACTCTTCCACGTGGTCTTGCAAATACTCTTTATGTCAGAATTTGGTTTTGTCTGTACTGCTCCTCTGGTGTTACAGATTTACCTGTGGATTCCTGATTGCTGGAATCCTCAGTGGTTTTACTGTGCCTACCTTTTTTAAGGAAGCTGCTGCTGGCAGTGATGATTTGGAAGTGTTATGGAATACAGGGATATGGACAATTTGAAAAAAACTTATTTGGAGTTCATTTTGCTGCTTGGCTTGGTCTGTGGCAGTTCCCAGGTTTATGCTGGTAGCCATGTGGACTTCTGGAAGTCCACATGTCGAAGGATAAAGGAAAGCTGGGCAAAGAGGTCTTGTCAGGCTAGTTGGGAGGTAAGTTCTTCATGTTTTATTAAACAGCTGGGACCTTTCAAGAGCCTGGGAAAATTACATTATTACCCACAATTTTCAAATAATATGTTCTAAAGTGATTGCCATGCAATTTAGTTAATATTTCTCCCATGGTTTTTAAATGAAAAAGGATGGAATAAGTCATAATTGGATACAGTCCCCTGGTGAGTTCTGCTGGATGGCTGGACCCTGCCTTCAGCCTGTGCTGGGGTTTTAGTCCCTCAAATGAGGTGTGGACATGACCAGTTATTTAAAAATAGGTAATCAAAATTGTGTCACATACCTTAAGTATTTTTATTCATGTGCAGGGGAGATAATGACAGATTGAAATCACATCTGGTTTGGGTGGTTGACACCTGAAAATCAATGTCTTTGTTTATCTGCACAGTGGGGATCACACCTGCCCCAGTGGTAGCTGGCCTGAGGTGCTGGTTCAAAAGGGGTTCAGGGGAGTGCAAGGCTGCTCTGACATTGAATCTGCCAGGACTGTAAGGAAATAATCCAAGTGATAACATGAGAGATTCTTGTACTGGCATATGGAGGTGTTCTTAACAAAAGAAAAATCCCTGAAGTAACACTAAGATAATTGCTGCTTCAAGATAACTGCAGTATCGTAACAGAGACAGCATCTCTGAAAGGGTTAAGGTCAGAGTGAGATGGTTTTCCAGCAGAAATTTTCCTTTCTAGTACCTTCACTTCATTACTTCCGAGTCAGTGTAACATAAGTGCTGTCATTTGCCTGGTGGATGCTAGTTCTATTGTGTCTCTTACTGCAACATTAATGAAAAGCTATAATGTGACTGGCTCAAAGAGAGGAGACTTCCTAGGCCTCAGCCAGCTAGAAATAACTGAATTTCTAAGGAATATAAATTTGTTTTCAAAGCTAAAGATGAAAAGAAGCCTCCTTGGTCATATGAACAATAAAGCCAACTATTTTTCTTAAAATTTTAGGTAGTGGCCTCTTCTCAGTATATGTGTGTCAGCTGCTGTGATGGACTCTTGTGGAGTATTAATCTAAAAGTATTTGAATAACTTGGATTATTGTTAATTATATTACCAGCATAATTAATGCATTTAATTCTCTGGTTTCTTGAGGTTTTCCATTTTGCCTGTAGTGAGTTTCCAGACAATGTGTTCTGACTGGGAATAATCCTTTAGTTTGTCTTGCTTTTTTAGTACTTAGTGGCAGAAGGAATTGGTGGTACATAACTTCTCCTGGGTGATTAGGATGTAGGAGTGTGAGGATAAATGGAAGATGGAATTTTGATCCTTGTTTTCAGTTTTTGATTGACCTCCAAGATTCTTGATTACAGGGATTTCCTGGTTTCTTCCCTAGCAGCATGGGCTGGTGATCTTACTGTAACATGGAGGTGCTGGGAGCCCCACCCAGTGTTTATGGAATGGTTGAAGTCCCTTTAAGGGAAGAGTTTCCTCTGATCTGGAAGGATTTCAGTTTTGCATGAGAGGGATGAGGTTGGGCGGGTGGTGCTGTGAAAGACTGGCTGGGTGTCAGCAGAGATCCCAGAAGGGAACATCAGCAGGTGCTGGAGAAGAAGAGAATTTGTGTAAGTCAGTGAGGAGCTACTGTGGGAAGAGCTGTAGGTTTAAACAATCCCAATGTGTGGATGACTTTGGAGTACTGGGGAAATGCTAAGGTTCTGGAAGCCCAACTAGCAAAGAGTTTCTCCTTTGGAAAGGAATATTCTTCAGGAAAACACGGATACAATCTGTGGTGAATTTTGTGCTGCTTTTGGTGGCTTAGATCTCTCAGCACCCAGTCCATAGCTCCCATCAAAACACATCTGATGCTCTGCAAGGGCTCTTGAAGGATCACTTGAATAAGAAAACTTCACTATTTAAGAAAACAAAACAAAACTGGGACGCTGAGTTCCCCTTCTGCCTTTTCCCAGTAAGGAGGAACACTGGAACACTTTGGAGTCCATGACCAGGCTTGGTGGTGGTGGATACCCGGACAAAAACAGCAGCCTGAGTTGGCCACTGTGCTTTTTGTGTTGTTCAGAGGTACATCTCTGCAGCTCTGAGAGGAGTCTGGGCACTGTGGTGTAATTCCCCTTCCCAAACAGTGACAGGCTATTGTGAAAGTTGCTCTGGTACCTCTCTACATCTTCAGGAAAAGTTCCCAACTCTTGCAAACAACAGTATCAGCTCTGTGAGACCAAACCATAGGATCATGTAGGATAGTTCCACTGAACCTCCATGTATTGCTCCACATGCAAAAATCTCACAGCTGTGGTGAGGATTATTAGCTGGCACTTGATCTTCAGCTGTGAATGAAATGGGGCAAGAGAAGACTGAGTCAAACCCTCTTTTTTTGTGCTTTGTGCTTGCAATAAGGAAGGGATGCTCTTTGTGACAGCCGTCAGTAGCAGGGACTGGCTTGAAGAAACCCTTGGTCACAGAGTGATGACCAAGCTAAGGCTTTTCTCAAACCAGTGGTATCTCTCCTTGCCTAACCCTTGCATTTCCTGGAGTCTTGTTATGAGTTCCAGATGCTTTGTGCATTCCTTGCTGGTGGAATTTCACCAACAGGTGGAATTGTTTGGTGTCTGAGTCTTCCAGACAGCTGCTGAGAATTGTTCTGGTCAAATGTCATCATCCTGACATGGATTGTAAGCCCAGTTTCTGTGTCCATCTTCATAAACCCCTTCATCTTGTAATGGATGAATAATCAGAAAAGCAGCTTTTATTTAAGGGCCACTCTGCAGCCAGACCTGCGAGAGATCAGTGGGGCCCCTTGGAAACACTTAAGGTTTAGAATCCTAAAGCTCCATGTGAAAACTGGCTTTGCCATAGGGAACGGGTTTTTCTTCATCTTGACTTTAAGAAGTGGCTCTGTTGCGTGTCTCAGGGGTACAAATTAAAGAGTAAAATCCTGTGAGTTTGAATAAGAAGCATTTAGATGAAAAAATACTTCTGCAAGTTCCTGAGAGAGCAGATGTTTACCTGTGTACAGGTAGGTATCATTTGACTCCTAAATGCCCAAGCCTAAGGGATAATGGAATTAAAACAATTGTGTAATGTTACTTAAAATTTCCCTTTACCTCTAAAAAAAATGTGGTGCAACAGAGAATTCCCTGGGGATCTAAATTGTGGCTGGAGCTTAAAAAAAAGAAAAAGGACCAAAAAACCAGGATTTTTTTTTTTTTTAATGGATCCTAGATTAGAAAAAATAAAACACTGGTCCTCTTTGTGTATATTTAACAGTTCTCTTTCATCATCTGTGTTAAGGCTGGTGTTTAATTCAGATTCTGGACAACTCGTGTGCATAGAGGGATGTAACAATCCTTGTATTCTTCAGGCCAGAAAGAAATACTTTTCTCTAGAAAGTGTTTTGGGGGTATTAAAGGCTCTTATTAGTGTAGACTGGGAGGGGTGGCTGGAGAAGATGGGTTTTCTTTCCCCTTTCTCCCTCCTTATTGCTGATGCATAGGTTTTGGAGTAAAAATTGTGATCAGGGAAGCATCTGTGCCTGTGGAAGTTGCAGGGAGCCCCCAGACACCAAATCAAAGGTGGATGTAACAGATGGGTCAGCAGCCAACATGTGGTGATTTAAACTCTGTCCTGTGAGTTTTGTGCTGGTGCTGGAGGGAGATGCATGACCCAAAATGTGCAGCCTCATGCTTTTTACAGCCAGGAGAGCAGCATTGCTGGGCCTGGTACTCCAGCTACACTACCCATGCTGGATCTCAATTTTCATGCAGTAATCCAAAATAATACACCGAAATTGCAAATTATTTTATTCCGCCATGATTTTTGAGGTGTTGGCATTCCCCACAAGGCCTGAAGCCATGCGGGGCCTTGGTTGTGTCTCAGCCCTCGTTGGATCCCTCCAAAGCCACCACAGCACATCTCCCACACTGTGATGGCCTCGGTGCTGTTCATCCCTTTAACCTGGAGCTGCTCTGGGGCACCTGCAGGGCTTGTACGGGCCGGGCACGGCAATGAGTGTGAGGGATCCGGGCCTGGCACGGCCAATAGGAAGCCATGGGTGGATTTGGTGTCGCGATGGTCGCTTTGGTAGTGTTTCCTGGGCGGTGTCTGTGGGGACAGCAGCCATGCGGGGGTCGCGGACCCGGTGATGGGGCAGCAGACCCCCGCTCACGGCCCGCTCCCTCAGAAGGGCAGCGCCGCGGAGACTTTTGTCTGGCCTCAGGTGCGGCTGAGCCAATCACAGCTCGCCTCCGGTGAGCGACAACTCTCCCGCCAATCACCAACAAGGGGCTCCACCGCCCGCAGCCAATCACCGCACAGCAGACGTAGTGCTTCACCAATGGGCTCTTAGCGGTGGGACAAGGTGCCTGGAAATAGATAGAGAGGCTGGGCAAATGAGAGAGTGGCAGGGCGCTGTCCAATAGAAACTCGAGACTGAGTTTGAACCGCCCAATGAGGAGGGCGGAGGTGGGCAGGGCTTGCGTTGCGTATAAATGCTACGGCGGTGCGGGCGGCGGCCGCAGTTGTCACCGGTAGCGGCAGGGTCGGTCAGTGGGAGCGACTCTGTCCTCGGGAGCGTCGCTGTACTAAGCCCTTCCCTTGGTCCGGCACCTCCGCCATGACCACCACGGCCACGTTCTCGGGCATGGACCCCAATGGCAGGAACAGCTCCAGGTCTGCAGGGGGCTTCAGGGCCAGTGCGACCCAGAGGGCGGTGGGTCTGGGGGTCCCGGGGAAGGCACGTCCGGATCGGCTCGGGAGCGGTGCTAGGGCGCGGTGATGGGGCGGGGACTCCGGCCGGGCCGGGGCTGTGGGTGTGCGGTTCCTCCCGGCCTCTCCCGGGTGGCTTGGCCGGAGGCGGGGGTGGCCGCGCCCACCCGGATGGGCTGCGGGGGCATCCCGGGGCCTCGCCGTGCTCG